AATAGTAATAAGGGGGAAGGGGGTAGACAATGAAGAAGACTGTGCAGTACGAGATGAAGAGGAGAATGTTGGGGAAGAGGAAGGGGTGTTTTCTAGAAGTTGAGTAATAAGCTGGGTGGGCGTTTTGGAATGGTTGGAGTTGTTCGTAATTGTCGAAGAGGGGGTATTAGTACCAGTGGGCAGAAATGTGGTCAAAGGCAGGGTAGGGGTCAGAAAACCATCAAAGTCAAATTCAGATAGGCTATTTGATGAAGGGGCAAGCCTTAATGCCTCTATTAAAGATAAAGAATCTTCATTATTGGCCATGGTGAGCCTGAATAAACTGGGGAGAAGAAATGGTCTACCCCTCAGGGTCCCCATAAGGAGTAAGGGCTAGGCAATCAACCAAGGGAATACCGTGCCCACAGCTCCCAGAGGCCGTTCCTGACTGACACTAAGCCAGCCTTTCAGCACAACTTTCACACCTTACGAATGGGATAGAAAAAGGGAATAAATATGATATGGAAGAGGAAAGAAGAGAAGAAAGACCCAAGGTAGGGGTGATTCCCTACCCTCTCCTAAGCCCTCCCATGACAACAACGGGCAAGGGATTAGGGGGGAGAGAAGAAAAGACCATGAAAAATTCAATGAAGCGTGGGCTGAGGCTTAAGGTAGGGGTGTTCCCCTACATTGGACCTCAGCCTGTCTCTAACACCCCCCACAAGGTGTGATTTGGGGATATATATACATAATCACATACAGTCAGTCTCTTTTTCTTTGAATGACATAATAGATGATTATACTTCTAAGATACCCCAATGGGTGATTATGATCTCTATACAAAAAAGTTATTTTCAAGTCATAGTAGATCATATTTTTAATCAACATAAAATTTATAACTCTTTTATTAATTCTGTTTAATTCAAAATGTTTCTGTTCATAGAAAGTTTTAATTTTGTAACTTCTTTTAACCCAACTTAAAGGATACAAGGGCCCTCAAGAAACAGCCCCTGGGCCCAAAAATATTAATAAAGAAGCCATTGTTGGGTAAAACAGGAGGGTTAAACAACACTACCATATAAATACAAATATTTTAATTTATATCTGTTATGTATACTCTGCAGTACATGAATGATGGACACATCATATCTAAAGCTAAAAGTATAAGTTATATTTGGTACTTTTAATTACTTTGTTAGTAACATACGTAATAACTGTAATGTATGAACGTATATCCTTTTTATCATAAATAAATAACCAACCTTTACATTTGATTTCTTTGATACAATTGTAATGGTAATAATACAGGTATATAGTGAAGGTATTGTAAGGTCACTCTGGCTGATCTTTCTTGAATTTCATATTAATATTTATATATATATTATATATATATATTATATATATTATTATATATATATATATATATATTA